GCCCCCAACCCAGCAACAGTCAAGGCAAGAAGCGAAGATGGAGTGAGGAGCCCTGGGCAAGTCCTACACAGGTCCAGCGGGACAGTGGCCAAGCAGGACCCCCATCTGAAGGGGCTAGAGCCATAGCACTTGAGGAAGACCCTGCGGGGGAATCTGTACAGGCACAGCAACCTCAGCCCTGCAGTACGCCCTCGGCCCTCAGGTACCACAGCTTTAGCCCCTTGAGTCAAGCCAGGGCAGGGAAGGCTGAAGGCATGTCCCACCTGCACATCTCCCCTAGGCCAGCCGTCCCGGACAGGGGTAATTACATACGCCTCAACATGAAGCAGAAACGCTACACGCGGGGCAGGGCCCTTCGAGGCAGGCTCCTCCGCAAGCAGGTGAGACAGCGACAGGATGGGATGGGCAGTCCTCTCCCCCTTTCTCTATTTCTTTCCTATGTGACTCTCCTTTGTGCCTCCCCAGGCATGGAAGCAGAAGTGGCAGAAAAAAGGAGAATGTTTTGGGGGCGATGGGCCCAGAGCCACAGTCAAGGCTTGTCTATCATGTGGGCAGTTTAGTCACTGGGCACCACAGTGTCCCCAGCCAGGTGAGACAGCTAACCTAGGGAGTGGGTCACACACGAACACCATGTGGAGAGGGCACTGCATTCTAGGGGACAGTCCTGGCCCCTCAGAAGGAGGGTGGAAAGGATTAGAATGACTCAGCCCTTTCCCACTGTGGAAGTAGCAGAGAGGACAGACACTGCCTTCTGCCCACTTCCTGGTGGGGTAAGGGGGCAACTGTGGCCAGTGACTATCTTGCTAGAATGACCTCAGCCCTTTCTTGAGCTCTCACACCACCTTTCTCCTGTTTGCCTTCAGTAGATGAGGAGGACACAAGGCCTGCTGGGCCTGAACCCAAGGTGCCCCATTTGGCCCCGGCCGTGCTGCCCCTCTACCCACTAAGGCCCTCAGGGCAGGTGGCAGGTAAGCAAACCCCTACTGGCTCAGAGCCTGTGCTGAGGGAATGGGGTGACTCAGGTTGGCCCAACTCTTGGTCATCAACACTTGTATCTGCAGAGACACCAACTGAGGTCTTCCAAGCCCTGGAGCAACTAGGACACCAAGCCTTCCGCCCTGGGCAGGAACACACGGTCATGCGAATCCTGTCTGGTGAGCAGGGCTGCCAGAGGATGAGGTGGGGCTGAGGCCAGGACACAGAGCTTCACTGCTGACTCTCATCCTACTCAGGCATTTCAACGCTGCTGGTGCTGCCAACAGGCGCTGGCAAATCCCTGTGTTACCAGCTCCCAGCGCTGCTCTACTCCCGGCGCAGCCCCTGCCTCACACTGGTCATCTCTCCACTCCTTTCACTCATGGATGACCAGGTGTGCAGAGTCCTTGGCACATGTGGGTGGTCAAGAATTGGTACTTGTGATTCCCTTGTGCTGCTGCTGCTTATCCTGACCCCAGGAAACTGCAAAGTGCCCAGCCCTACCCTCATCATGAGGGAAGCTTAGCTCAATAGGGCCACCTCAGGGCCATCCCCTCTAGGCCCATCTGCTCTAGGGCTCCCAGGCCAAGGCCCACAGGTGGCTCTAAGTCCTTAGTCTGAGGACTCAGGGCCTGATTTTCCTCTCCCCAAAGGGCCTGGAGTGGACATAGTAGCACCTATTGGGTTGAGCAACTTTGGGAGGATTGGGGGAAGGGCCAGGGTTCCCCTGGCCTGTGACAGCCATTTCTCCTGTATCTGCAGTTGTCAGGCCTGCCCCCATGCCTCAAGGCAGCCTGTATCCACTCAGGAATGACCAGGAAGAGGCAGGAGTCTGTCCTGCAGAAGGTAGGGGGCCTCATGGGCCTGGGCAGTGGGCGGGCACATGGGCCATGCATCTGACCCTGCTGCCTTCAGGTACGGGCAGCCCAGCTACATGTGCTGATGCTATCACCCGAGGCACTGATGGGGGCAGGGGGCCCTGCCATCCTCACCCAACTCCCTCCGGTGGCCTTTGCCTGTGTCGATGAGGCCCACTGCCTCTCTCAGTGGTCCCACAACTTCCGGCCCTGTTACCTGCGCGTCTGCAAGGTGAGCCACTTGTGGATCAGGGCTGGTGGGCCGGGCCCCAAGTGGGCTGGGTGGCCTCACTACCCACCCCTCCCCTCTGGCATAGATGCTTCGTGAACACATAGGTGTGCAGTGCTTCCTGGGTCTCACAGCCACAGCCACACGCAGCACTGCCCGTGACGTGGCCCAGCACCTGGGTATAATGGAAGAGCTGGGCCCCTGTGGGCCATCCCCTATTCCCGCCAACCTACACCTCTCTGTGTCCATGGACAGAGACCCAGAGCAGGTGGGTGTGCATTTTCCACGTGGCAGAGGCCCTGGCTCCCAACTGCCTATACTGATCTCTGCTTTCTCATCAGGCTCTGGTAACACTGCTGCAAGGGGATCGTTTTCGGGCCTTGGATTCCATCATTGTTTACTGCAACCGTCGTGAGGACACAGAGCGGGTCGCTGCACTTCTCCGGACCTGTCTGTGTGCAGTCCGGGGTCCAGCCCCTGGAGGTAAGGCCTATGCGGGGCGGGAGCCCTCATGGACTCACTGTGTGCTCCAGCCCACTAACCGTGTCTGTCTTCCCCAAAGATCATGCCCCCGAAGCTGTGGCTGAGGCCTACCACGCTGGCATGTGCAGCCGGGAGCGGCAGCGAGTGCAGCGGGCCTTCATGCAGGGCCAGTTGCGGGTGGTAGTGGCCACGGTAGCCTTCGGTATGGGACTGCACCGGCCAGATGTGCGCGCTGTGCTGCACCTGGGGCTACCCTCAAGCTTCGAGAGCTACGTGCAGGCTGTAGGCCGGGCCGGGCGTGATGGGCAGCCTGCCCACTGCCACCTCTTCCTGCGGCCCCAGGTTGGCACCCTTCCCCTTCAGTGCCTAAGCCCTCAGGGCTCTGGCCCATCCTCACTCTTCTCCTGCTGCAGGGTGAGGACCTGTGGGAGCTGCGCAGACACGTGCATGCCAACAGCACCGACTTCCTTCCTGTGAAGAAGCTGGTGCAGCATGTATTCCCACCCTGCACCTGCGCCCAGCCACCCCCAGAGGAGCAAGGAGGTGTGGGTGGGGAGAGGCCTGTGGCCAAGTCCCCCATTCAAAAGGCCGAGTATCACAGCAGCCCCCAAGCAGCCCCAGGGCCCAGGAGGGCCTGCCCAGGCCACGAGCTGGCACTCCCAGTGCAGCCAACAGTGCAGGCCCTGGACCTGCCAGAGGAGGGTGAGGGACCTGGGGAAGGGGGTGAGGGACCTGGGGAAGGGGGTGGGGCATGTGGAGGGGCTGTCCCTGCATCTCCTGAGGCCTGCTCTGTCCCCAGCCATTGAGACGCTGCTGTGCTACCTGGAGCTGCACCCACAGCGCTGGCTGGAGCTACTGCCCAACACCTATGCCCGTTGCCGTCTGCGCTGCCCTGGGGACCCCACCCAGCTCCAGGCTCTGGCCCACAGGTGAGCATGTACCACCCTAGGTTGGGGATAAGGACAGAGGGCCAGGGCTGCTGGTCACATGTTCCCTCCCCCTGGGCACAGGTGTCCCCCTTTGGCTGTGTACTTAGCTCGGCAGCCACCTGCGGATACAAGGCGAGATAGCAGGTCCATGGAGTTTGACATGGTAGAGCTGGCGGACTCGATGGGCTGGGAGCTGGCCTCTGTGAGGCGAGCTCTCCGCCAGCTGCAGTGGGACCAAGAGCCCAGGACAGGTGTGCTCATCCCCACCCCACCCTGGACCCTGCTTGCCTGCCCGCCTGTGTCTGACGTGCTCTCTGGCAGGTGTGCCCCGGAGCACAGGGGTGCTTGTGGAGTTCCAGGAGCTGGCCTTCCACCTTCGCAGCCCTGGGGACCTAACAGCCGAGGAGAGGGACCAGATATGTGACTTCCTGTATGGCCGTGTGCAAGCCCGGGAGAGTGAGGCCTTGACCCGTCTACACCGAAACTTCCAGGCCTTTCACAGGTTGGGGGGAGGTGGGCAGGGCCTGGTGCCACTCACGCTCCCCTCACAGGAAGCACTGACAGGCTTGTCCCACCCCCAGCATGGCCTTCCCCAACTGCGGGCCCTGCCTGGAGCAGCCCAGTGAGGAGCAGAGCACCAAGCTCAAGGCCCTGCTTGGCCGCTACTTTGAAGAAGAGGCAGAGGAGGCACAGGGGCCGGAGGCTGTCCGGGATGAGCAGGGCCCAGAGCTGGAGCAAGCTATGGTGAGTGCCAACCCCTTCTGCGGGCTGTTCCTTCGGGCTGGGACACACACACCTGACTCCACAGAGCTAGGCTCCTCCCCACCTGGCTCCAGGTCTTCTGGGCTGCCCCTGTGTGAACTCAGGGCACAGAGAGACCCAACACGCCATCCACCCACAGCTCCAGGACTGGGAGGACCAGATCCGCCGCGATATCCGCCAGCTCCTGTCCCTGTGGCCAGAGGAGAAATTCTCAGGCAGGGCTGTGGCCCGCATCTTCCACGGCATTGGTGAGGGCTCAGGTGGCTCAGCCTGAGGCGGGCAGGAGCCAGGGCAGAACCGGGGAGAGTTCTCATGGCCGGTGGGTTTGCTCCACTATAGGAAGCCCCTGCTACCCAGCCCAGGTGTACGGGCGGGACCGTCGTTTCTGGAGAAAGTACTTGCACTTAAGCTTCCACACCCTGATGTGCCTGGCCACAGAGGAGCTCCTGCTGGTGGGCCGCTGACTGCCTGGCACCAACACAGAGGGCACTAGTCCCCAACAGGGTATACAGGGTTGGGGGTTGTGTGCCCACAATGTAGGGACTGTCAGGTGTGACAGCTCATCCAGCAAAGAGGGTCGTCAGTGGCCAGGACAGTGACTGACCGCCCTGGGCAAAGCCTGCCAGTAGGGGTATAGGGACAAGGAGACTCAAAAATGATGAATAAAAAGTGCTCAAGTTGTTCCTACGGCCCCTCCTTTCTGTGAGGCAGTTCCGGCAGTGTGGGGACAAATGCTTGTCACACGTTCCAGACACAAACATCAAGCCACAGGCATACTCAGCTTTATTGACCAGCCTGGCCACCCAGCTCAAGCCAGGCTGCTGGGTGCCAGGCTCAGGCACAGGAGGGGCAGAGCTGAGAGGGTGACGAGGAGGGAGAAGCAGGGACACAGCCCTAGGCTGTCAGCCAGGGCTCCAGCCAGGGCACCCAGCAGCAGCTTTCCCAACAGCTCCAACGTGGCCAGGAGGCTGTAGTGTGTGGCCTGGGAATGGGAACCAGGTGGGAGTCAGGGCCCATGCAGCACCCCCATAGTCCCTCCACATCCTGGCCATGGGTCTCACCTGCAGTGCCCTAGGTGCCAGCTGGCTGCAGCGCATCATCACAGTAAAAGTGGCCGTGGTGACCAGGCCCCCCAGAAAGTGCTGCAGGCACAGGCTCAGCAAGGCAGCTCCTAGGAGAACAAAGGTTAGCAGTAGTACCCAGGACTCCTGTCCCCACCCCCCAAGGCTAGCCCCTCACCTTTCAAGAGTGTGCTAGGGCCCAAACTGACCCCTAGGGTGTCCAGGTGGAAGAGCAGGGCAGTCTGGCAGACCAGGCCCCCAAGGCGAAGCCGCAGCACAGACCTCAACAAGGGTAACAGCTGCCTGGGGTGGGGAGATTGGGCAGTTCAGGGAATTCAGGGCAGGTTGGGGGACAAGTGAGTAGGCAGGGCAGGCTGAGGAGCACGCACCAGCGCCTGGCCAGCAGGGCCCCAGCCAGGGAGGAGCCGGCGATGGAGCAGGCCACGGCACCCACGCCATTCCACAGCCCCAGCTCCGGGGTAGAAGCACCATGGTCCAGCAGAACAAGAGGAAACAGGCTGCTGGCACCCTGCTCACCTAGGGGGAGATCGTGGGCAGGGAAGTCCCCTGTCTGCCCTACCTCCCTTCTCCCCACCTTGAGCCTCAGTCCTGCTCTGTCGAACTAGGCCCCTGCCCTGCCTCTGTCTTCCTGGGCCATAAGTGCTGGGGGAGAAATGGGTGCTGGCCAAGCCCAGGGTGAGCATAAAGCAACCCCAGAGAGACCCAAGGCCACAGAGCTAGAACTGGTGAAGGACAGAGGCAAAAAAGCCCAGCTCCAGATCCCTGGATGTTGAGGCCAGGCTAAACTCTAGTCTGCATATCACATCCCAAAAAGAGAATGGCCCCATAATGGGTTTCAAGCTCCTGGGGCCCCACCTGGAGCTGTCCCTGAAGCCCCACCCCTGCTGTTGCCTGACTCACCCAGCTTGTAGGTGAGCACAAAGCCTGCCGTCCATGGGGTCCCTGGCACAGCCAGCACATCCTGCAGAAGGCGCAGGGTGTAGTGGGGATGCTCTGAGGGATGAGGCTGCGGAGGTTGGCGCAGGGCAGGTGCAGTCCAGGCCAGGGCTGCAGCCAGCCAGTAGGTGGTAGCCAGGAGCAGAAAGAGCCTTGGCCAAGAGAGGGTGGGCAAGAGGGCCAGCAGCCCACCCCCTGCCAGCGCTGCCCCCAACTTATACGCCACCACCTGCACGGTGTTGCCAGGCCCCAGCTCGGCGGGCTCCAGTAGCTGCACGGCCAGCGTGTCCAGGGCCACATCCTGCACAGCCGCACCCAGGTTCAGCAACAGCAGCAGCGCTGCCGCGACAGGCAGCCCAGCCTGGCCTGCTTCAGCAGGAGGCAGCGCGGCCAGCAGCCCACACACCAAGCCCAGGGCCACCGTGCTAAGTGTCAGCCAGGCCCTCACGGAGCCCCGCGCGTCCACCAGTGGGGCCCACACCAGCTTGAACAGCCACGGGGCATACAGCACCTTGGCCAGTCCCACCTGCGTCAGGGAGAGCCCGCGAGCCCGCAGCAGAGTGGGCAGCAGGCCGGACTGGAGCCCGTAGGGCAAGCCCTGCACCAGGTACAGGCTGGCCAGCGGCAGCAGCTTCCCGCACATGCCTGGGCCCGGGCGGATGCGGGGCTAGGTCTCTGTCGCCCAGGGTTGGCTTCAAGGCTTGGAGATCGTCGCGAGTGATGTCTGTCTGACGAGGTAAGGTCCCAACAGCATGGGCTCAGGGGTCACACCCCGGCATGGCTTTGGGACAGGACCCAGGTGGGGTCAGAGTTGGACACCTCAGAGGAGCGACACCCCAGAACAGAAGCCGGGTCCAAACTGGGGAGCGAGCGGCCTGTCTCCGGAGCGGCGGGCGCACCACACACTGGCGGCCCGCGACTCCCGGCAAGCTCTGCGCGGCTGTAATGAGCTGGGGGCGGGGCCTTCCTGAGGGCCTCTGGGTCCTCCCGAACCACCGAGCGGAGCACTGGCTGGACTCTGGGCGGATATGGCGTCGCCGGAGCCCCGTGGCCACCCGCTCCAGGGCTGGAAAGTTGCGTGGGTCACGGAGACCCCGAGAGGGCCAGAGCGTCGGCTCCCGGGCGCCCCTGGTGGTTAGCCCCCGTCACCAATACACGCACCCGCACCGGTCCAGGTCCTTTGTGGATGGGAGAGGCTCAGAGACTGACGCTCCAGACCTGCAGCTAGCGTCATCGTAGGAATCAAAGTAGGAATTGACCTGTGCCCTATCCACCCCTTCCACTTGTCACCAGCTCCGGTCCCTCCCAGGGTTCTCAGATCCGCTTCAGAAGTGCTTCCTGGTGTCTAGCCTACAGCCTGGTTGCTGCAGTGCCCAGCCCTCGTTTCTCTAGCAGCCCCCATGGAGGATTTAACCTTTTAATGGTTCCTCTGTCTGCTACTGGATACTTATGACTGGACCACCTGCCTGCCGTGCTGTAGCTTCAGCCGCCTCCCCAAGGCAGGGGCCACAGAGGGAGAGCCATGAAAGGTCAGGGTCCAGGCTAGAAGGACACAGCCAGCCACTGCCCTCCAGTGTCGGGTGACAAGGCTAGGAGACCTCTGCCTAACTAGAGCTGTTTCTGCCAAGGGAAGGGCTCATATGTGGTCTCTCCTGCCCAGGGCTGTGCCCTCTGGGGCTTCCAAGGCCCAGATGAGACTGTGAAGTGTGGCCTCTGGTTAAGAACTATTTCCAGAGTGGACAAAACCGGGTGCCTTCCTGTCTTCAAGTCTGTGTCCCTAAAGCCAGCCCAACCCTTGAGAGCCAATTCAAAGGCACTTGAGCCAACACATTTCTTCGGCTGAAGAAGCCACTTTGAGTGGGATCCCTTTCACTTCAACATATTCTTGGGGTTCAAGTTTGTCTATAAAATGGGAACCACCATGCCTACCTTAGAGGGCCATTTGTGCAGATTGAGTAACCCACAGCAGTGTCCCCACACAGCAGGCACTCATCCTCGTGTTCCCAGGGAAATGGACACAGGGCTGCCCACTCCACCCCTGCTTCCTCCAGCCCTGGCCCTCCCTTGGAAAATCAAGACCTCCTCCTTGAGCCTTCAGTTATCACCCTGTCCAGCCAACTCCATCCTATGGTTTACTATAAATATATCCCCTGTGCCACCAGGGAAGAGGTAGACAACACAGGAAAGCGAGCCAGGACGAAGGACACAGCTTTCTGCACCTTCCTCAAGAAAGGCTACTTTTTCTCATGTGGCCACGCTGGGATGCCCTGCTGTGGTTCTCCATCACCCAGCCTGAGTGCAGTGGTACAATGATAGCTCACTGCAGCCTCCATCTTCTGGGCTCACGCGATTCTCCGGTCTCAGCGTCTGCAGTCATCTTGTGATTCTTTGTCAAGCCCCTTTCCCACTCCTAACAAACAGCCCTGGGGTCTCCCTGCAAGGAGGTGCAGGGGGCCCTGTGCCTTTCTTCACACTCTACGCTCTTCTTTATTTATTTGTGAGGCAGTCTTGCTCCCTTGCCCAGGCTAGAATGCCGTGGCATCAACCTAGCTCACAGCAACCTCAAACTCCTGGGCTCAAGCAATCATCCTGCCTCTGCCTCCCAGAGTGTCAGGATTACAGGCGTGAGCCACTGTGCCCAGCCCACACTCTACATTCTTGCCACTTTCTAATTGCTAAGTCAGTTTGTTCATCTCTGCCAGAAGATCAGAGGCCATGGTGGAGACCCAGCCCACACTAGGTGAGGTGTCTGTAAGAGGAACAAGTAAACCAGGCAGGAAGGGCATCTCCTCTGCCTCCCCAATCATTCCTCCTGAAGTTAGGACAAGTGTCCACTTAGGGCTGGGTCCCCAGACCTGCACGAATGCAGTCAGAGTGGACAAAGGTAGGAATCTTTCATGCAGCTGCCACCAAGGAGTCAGACTATCACAGCTTTATTAGGGACCTGCAGAGACGCAGGGGCCCAGCCCCCCAGGCAGCAGAAGCAAGTCCAGGGGACTCCAGAACCCCCCCAGGGACCTGAGCAGTCAGTCAGTCCAGGGGCGGCCCAGCCCGGCCCCAGCTAGGGTACTCAGGAGTACTCGCTGGTGAACTTGGCGTGAAACTCGCTCAACTTCTCCAGCAGCGGCCGCAGCTTCTCCATGGGGGGCAGAATGGTCATCCTAAAAGGAGTGGACTGTAAGCAGATGGGAAGGGTCTCAGAGAGGGGCTGTGAGGACCCGGCCTCACCGGAAGTGGTAGGTGCCTTCCCGCTGTCCGAAGCCGCTCCCAGGTACTACACAGATGCCGGTTTCCTCCAAGAGCCGCAGGCAGAAGAACATATCAGGGGCCAGGCCCAGCTCCTGGGAGCGCAGCAGGCGGGTCAGGGCCAGACACCCCGGCCCCGGCCCCGGCCCCCGCCCCGTCCTCGGCCCCGCTACCGCCGCCTCGCCTGACCTGAGCGCGCTGCACGGCGCGCGGGGGCAGCTGCATGCGCGGGAAAGAGTACATGGCACCTTGCACCGGGTTGCAGCGGATGCCAGGAGCCTCGTTGAAGACCTGCTCGGCGAGCTTGGCCTTAGCCGCCAGCTCCGCCAACACAGCCTGCTTTTCCTGCAGCCGTGGAGGGCGGGCCAATCAGGGCTGGCCGGGAGGCGGGGGAGGGCGCGGCGTCTCAGTCCCCGCCCCCACTCTTGTGGCCCAAACCTGCTCGGCCCACCCTAGCTCACCGCTTGGAACTGCGCAAAGGAAGGGTCGGAGGGTGCGGGCGGGTTGACCACCAAGTCGAGCAGGGCCTGGCCCGGCACTGGCGGGCACAGACGCACGCTCATCAGCTTCACCATCTGCTGCTGCACCGCAGCGTCCATGTTCACTACCTCCACGTAGCCGCCGCGGAACCCGCACCTGCGAAGCGAAAGTTGGCGTCCAGGCCCCGCCTGGAAGAGGTGGCCGGCCCAGCGGGCAAGGCAGGCCAGGCTGTGGCCACCGGAGTCCGCGAGCCCCCACCCGTTCGGCCCGCACGCACTCGCCCATGTAGCCCTTGGAGGCAGAGTGGAAGGAGGCGAGTTCCTGCTGCCCGGCGTAGGGAGGTCCCATCTCCGTGAGCACCTTCTTGAATGAGTGGAACTGGGAACCCTCGGCGTACACGTTGTCCTGGTACACCTGGAGGGGCGGTGGGGCATCACGGGGAGCCGGCTGCTGCCCTGCTTCCCACTCCCACACGCGGCCCTGCCCGCACCTCATCAGCCAGCAGAAACAGCCGCTCTTCGAAGGCGAATCGGATCACAGCTTCAATACACTCGCGGGTCTGCACCTGCCCTGGGGCGCGGGGAATGTAGCGCAGCTGGCGTCAGCCGAGGGCGCGCAGTACTTTTCTCTGGGCAGCGGGGGGTGGGGCTGGCTGACCCGGGCAGACTGGACCACCGGGGACGCGCCTCGGGGCTGGGCGGGCGGGCCGGGAGGGAGAAGGGGGCCGGACGAGAAGGGGGGCGGCGCACCGGTGGGGTTGCCAGGGTTGATAACGCAGAGCGCTCGCGGTCGGCAGTGGTCACGTGCCTGACGCACAGCTCGCCGCAGCTCGGCCACGTCGAGCGCCCAGACGTGCTCTTCGTCCAGGTAGTAGTCCACCTGCACTGCGTCAAGCTCGGCCAGCGCGGCGGAGTAGAGCGGGTACTGGGGGATGGGAATGAGCACACCTGTGCGCGTGCGGCCCTCGCCGGCCACTAGCAGCCTCAGCACCGTCTGCGGGTGGAATGGGGTTGGGTGAGGTTAGCAGGGCCTGAGGCTACACCCGTCCCCCGCCCTGGGTGAAAGCTGCGGTGCCAGAACAAGCAAGGACGGCCAGGCCGCACACAAAGGGCCATATTGTCTTCCTGCCCAGGCAGGGCCTACCACGATAGCGTCGCTGGCCCCCGTAGACAGGAAGATGTTGTTGGGGTCCGCGGGGATGCCTCCATCGCGCCTCTCGATGTACCGTGCCACGTCCTCACGGATCAGCTGGATGCCAGAGCTGATGCTGTAGGCCCCTGGACCCCGGGGATGCAGGGAAGGACGGGGAGGGACGCACATGAGTGTGACTAAGTCCCCCTGGAGCCCTTCTGAAGGGACCTACCCCTTGAGCAGGCAGGTCTACCCTTCATTGCTTCTCCCTGGGGCTGTGCTGGGTCTGGAACTGGCACTTACCCAGGCTGTGGCCCCCGCACACCTGCAAGATGCGCTCCGCCCTTTTCTTGGCATCGTCAGGGAAGTTGGGGCTGCTCAGGAGATCCGGGTTTACACAAAGGGCCAGGACCTGGGAGGACCAAGTACTGAGGCCAGGCACATGGGTTAGGGTGAGGGGGCATGCCACAGGCTGTGCTGGAGCCTCACCTGCCGCAGGAAGGTGATGGGCTTCTGCCCCATGGCCTGTGCGTCCCCGATATTGGCACGGATGACCTCTGTGAAGGGCTTCTTCACACCCTGGGAAGGGGAGGCAGCAGTGAGGTGGGACCCCATTAACCCCTCTGCCCTTGTCCCATGTACCAATGGAGCTGGGGGTTACTCAACTGCCCAGGTGCAACCTGGAAGTCAGCAGTGGGGCCGGGGGCCATACCTGGCGCAGTTCCTGCTCCAGCTCCAAGGCACGAAGCACTATGGGGCCACGCACCGCATACTCCACCCTCCGCACACATGGGTTCATGGTGTCCAGTGTCAGCACCTTCTCCTTCAGCCCATTCCGTGTAGCCTGGCTCTGGTTACATGCCCTCAAGGCCATGGCTCTGCTTAGACCAGGCAGGAAGGCAGCTCAGACGGCAGGACCCCAAAGTGGGGATGGGGGAAGGTGGGTCCAGGCTTAGTTGACCAAGTCTGGGAGAGGGGAGCCTGGCTTGGGGAGACTCAAGGTAAGAGGGCACCCACTTCACTGCAGCCTGCTAGTCCCACTGAAAGGGATAAAAAGGGCTGAAGGAGCTGGGGACAGCTGGGCCCCGCCCCACCCGCCTGGGCACAGTTCTGCCCCAGGGAGCCAGAGGGAGTGGGTGAAGTGGCAGGCGGAGCTTGGGGCGAGGCCCAGTGCCCGCCCAGTTTCCCCATGACAAGAGAGCAGGAGACCCAGATAGGGGTAGATACAGAAGTAAGGTCTAGGCAACTGTGAGGGACTGAGTGTCACGGGGTGGGGGGAGGTCTAAGCCTGGGCCCAGCAGCCCTGGGGCTTGGCAGAGCTGGAAAGGATGACCCCCAAGGCAAGAATGGAGCCTGGGGCAGCTGGAGATTTACCCCAGCAGGGCTTGGCTGAGTCCTAGCCCTCTCAGTGCCCCCATCTTTGCCGGGGCCAGTGGACATATCTCCTAGGTAACCAAGCCAGGCCTCGGGAATCTGGGGGGGTGTTAGGGAGGGGAGTGAGAAGTTCAGCCTCTGGGTTCCATCCAGCCCCTTCTGGGCTGGTGGCCATGGCCTGGAGGCTGCAAGGGCACTATGGTTGGACCTTGGTCCCTGATCAGCACAGCAGGACATTAGGGATATTAAGCAAGAGGGCTGGAGACAGGCCAGCCCTGGGCCCAGGGACACCTCACGCCTCAGCTGTCCAGGCGTGGTTGTGCCCTTTCACCAGGCACCAGCTTGGAGTTGCCCCAGAACCACACCCCAGGCCAAGGGTGACCTACTCGCCCCTTCACTCTTGCTCCTGATTGGTGGAGAGAGTGGGAAGGGAACTGTGATAGGCCCCCAGAGCCCCACCTCCACAGGCCCTGCAAGGAGCCAACAAGCAGCCTGCATCTAAACCTGAACTGAGGGTCAGGGAGACGGCCCTCTGAGCTGAGCTGTAGCTGGCAGGCCCCAGGGTGGGCGGGCAGGCGGAGGGGCGGGTCTTTGTTCCTCTGACCTTGCTGGTTAAGACAGAAGCCATCAGGGAGCTCCAGCTGGCCACCCCCCCACACACTTCACACCTCTCAGCTCCACTGCCACAACAGCCTCCCAAAGCAACCAGGCCTGCCCTCTAGCCCCCAGGCAGGGCCAGCCCCTGCCCACCCCCGGGCAGCAGGGACCAAGTGGCAGCTGGACCTTGGGTAGCTGCCCTACCTCACACACTAAATTTAACCAGCAGCCAGCCCCTGGCCCTCCCCCAGCCCTGCTAAGGACACTCCTACAGCCATGGATGCTAGGGGAAGGGCAGGCTGGAGGGACAGTGAGCTGACCCAGCTGGTGCCAAGCCGGTAGGGGGGGTAGCCTGTACCTATATCCTCAGTACTGGTGGCTGTACAAAGCTGTCTGCCATAGATGAACTGGCAGTGCCCTCAGCCCTCCTGCTTGAAGCCCCTTAGGGGCCCCTCTTACCCTGACACGTTGTGCTCAGCCAGCTCAGAGCACAAGAGGCCAACTGGCTGTCCTCTATGCCAACCCAGGCAGAAGCTGGCAGACAGGCCCCAGGATCAGGGCTGCCTGCCAGTAACTGGGGCCTCACCCCCCGATCCAGGGGAGCTTCTGACGCCAGCCTTGTACCCATTTTACCCCTCTAGCTCTGGCCCAAGAGTCTGATAGAAAATACCTCCCTTTCCAGGCCACAGTCCCTGCCACTCTGGCACAGACACCCTCAACCCTGGCCCCCAAGGAATTGCCTTCCAGAGCACGCTGCTCCTCTCAAGAAGGCAAAGAGTTACAGAGGAGCCTCCAGGAAGCGGTGAGGGTGGGTCTGGGTGAGGGCCAGGCTTCTTGCCCAGTGGCCATGGGCCTCGCTCCCACACACAGGCTGGGGCTGCCACAAGCCCCAGCATGCACCTACAGGCCTCAGGTGCTCATGGGAATGGGCTGCTCCCCAGTAAAGCAGCACAACCTGCTCACCACAGTGGGGACGGTGGCCCAACTAAGACACAAACAAGGCTTGGTGGCAAAACAGCCCTTTACCAGGAATCATGGGATAAAAACAGTCTTTGCAGCCAGCTGCCCCCCACGTGTCTTCTGCCACAGGTCTACTCCTGAGAGAGGACATCCTGGCCAGCGGAAGTCAGGCTCCACACTGCCCACCCACAGTAGCAGGGCCACTGTGGGGTGGGCCTGCAGGGCAGGGGCCATGCCACCTGGAGCCAACAGCCTCTCACATGAGCAGGCAGCATGGCTTCTTCTCCACAGGGGCCTCCTCTGACGGGGCTGTGAGCTTGAGCAAGGGCGGGTCCACTGCCACATCAAAGCCACAATCAGGCTGAAGGCTCCCAGTATCAGCAGGCAGAACAGACTCAGGAGCCTCGGGCCCCTCAGGCGCAGGTCTCTGCAGTTTGGCAGCAGCTCGCTGGCGCTTGAGCTCTGCCAGGGTGTGGTGGGCCTTGTCTCGGACAAGGGCGTAGGGGGCAGTGCTCTCCAGGGGACTCAGCTGATAAGAGACACACCGGTCCAGTCGCTTAGAGTACAGGTGCCGGCCAGGGGGGGCCGCTACTCGGCCATTGTGTGGCCTGGCTGCCTCAGGGCTGTTCTCCTGTGGACAAAATGAAGACCCCAGAGGCATCAGGAGGCGCCCCCGTTCATCTTCCCCAGCTTTGGCCTCCTGGCTGTATGGTCATGGAGGGACAGAAAAAAGGGAATGAGAGGCAGCAGCTGACCCCTATGGGGCACCCACCCCACTGCCTCCAGAGGGGGCCAGTGCAGAGGGAGAACCAAGGCACCCAAGTAAGGTCAGAAGCCTTACTTGAGCCCAGCAGGGGCGGGGCACACACCTCAACAGGCGGCGGCCCAAGTTCAGCATCTGTCTGGCCATCCTCATCATCCTCGGGGGGCTCTGGGCTAAGGGGTGGTGGCTGTTGCCACACGATGGCCTCCTGGGCATGCTCCTTGCGGTACAGGTTGGTGCGCTGAGTTAGGCTCACCCGCCTCACCACCTTCCTGGGGTGGGGAGAGTAAGAGGAGGACACTGCCTGCCCCATGGACTCTGCCCCAGAGCTCAGAGTTCCAGCTGGCACCTCCACCAGGTGGCTGACATCAGCAGGGGCTTTGTCCGGGTGGGTGGGGGACAGGGACTGGGGGGGGGGCTGGGAAGACGGCTCACCCTCTGCTGCCTGCACTGGAGGTACGGCGGCGCAGCAGGGAATGCTGGCGGCCCTGGGCACGTAAGAGCACATCGTGCTTGTGCTTCAGCTCCAGCAACTTGGCCCGCACCTCCTCATCCCCACACACATCTGAGGAGAAATGGGCACAGGCATCAGGGGCACCCTCCCTGCCTCCCCTCCACCAAGTAGAAGTGGACACCCCCTGAGCTCACCAAGAGGCGTCTCATCCATCAGGGACTTTCCATTCAGGTTGGCCCCGTGTGCCACGAGCAGCTCCACCAGGTGCACCTGTGGGCCGGCCAGCCAGGGCTTTGGAAGGCTCTGAAGCCATGGAGCCTACCCCCACCCACCTGTTCCCAACCCTGCACTCACCTGGCCCCAGTAGGCTGCTGCGTGCAGTGGCTCCCAGCCATCCTGGTCCTTGGCGCTCAGACTGGCTTGGTGCTCCAGCAGCAGGGCAGCAGCCTCGCTGAACCCATTGGCAGCAGCAATGTGCAGCTGCAGGCAAGCCGCCCAGCCTGAATTCCAGCCCCGTGTCCCTCCAGGCCCTCCCCCCAGGCCCTCCCAATTCTCACCAGCGTGGCCCCATGGTCCAAGGGGACATCAAGGTCTGCCCCAGCCTGCAGTAGGCCCCGGATGTCCTCCAGCATGCACAGCTCTGGCACAGCCCGGGCCTCCTCGATGCTATCCTGGGTGATGCCTGTGAGGCAGCAGGCTTAGAGTGAGCACACCAGGGGCCCAGCCCCCTCCAGCAGGCATAGCCACACTCACCACGGTTGGCCATGGCAGTCTCCAGGCAGTCCAGTGTCTGCTCATCTTCACACAGGTCATAGGGCATGTTCCCATCAGTGTTGACCGCCAGAAGATTGGCGCCACTGCAGGTAGGATGAATGGGGGGCACTGGCCACAGGACCAGGCTCCTCGTAGAGGTCCCCAGCATCTCCTCCCTTTGCAGAGCCCAGGGCTGCCCCTCAGGAAGTACAAGGCAGACATGGAGGACTTGGCCCAGGCCCCACCTACTGCTGGGAGAACCTGCCTCTAGACCCCTCAGCCCTGGATCCTGTGTTTAAACCAGACAAGCCATCCTGCAGTCTCTACTGACTGGGGCTCCAAGTTCCTGGCAACTGTCTGCCCCCATAAACGTGCACAATGAGCTCGCCTGCTGGGGGCAGATGGACTCTAGGGGACTCAAAGGCAGAAGGTAGTGGGGAAGAATAGGCCCAAGTAGAGGCTCTGCTCGAAAGCTCTGGGGGCCTGTGTGCACCCTGTGTAGTTCCAGCACACCCCACTAGACTCTGTGGCACCTGTGTCTGGCAGGACTGCCATCTACCCACCCAGCCACTGGCCTTGCTTAGACTGCTCCAAGGATGGCCTGGCCTGACCCTCCCTCTTTCCTACTTGAGGGGCATGGAGTTAAGGGGGAAAGGAAGGGAAGAGACTCCTGATGAAGCCACCACTCTCCCTGCTCAGAGGCAGCTGTTCACCTTTACCCTTGTTAAAGGTAAAGGCCCCACCTATGCCAGCTACTGCCCATCTCAGGCCCACCTGGCTTCCTCACCATCCTTCCCTCCTTACATTCAACCCTCCTCACTCAGACCAAAATGGCATTTCTCTGTGCAGAATTTGGGGAGGCCCTCAGGCCAGAGCTGGAGGTCCTGCCCTCTTGGCAGGAGGTCGCATTCCAGGCAGGCCAAGGACCATGCTGCCCCCACACAGGCAGGGTGGGTCAGCAATGGTTAAGGTAGAACACAGGAGACCAAGGGCCAGGGACACTTTACCAAGAGCAGCCACCTTATCTGCCCTATGAGGAAGCCCCTCCCCTTACAAAGACACCCCGTGGGCCCTACCGGGCAATGAGCAGCTCTACCAGATGCAGGTGGCCACAGGTGGCTGCAGCATGCAGAGGCGTCCAGCACTCGCTGTCACAGGCATTGACATTGGCTCCAGCCTCCAGGAGCTGCTGCACCATCTCTCGGAAGTCATCAATACAACACTGCAAACCACACAACCTGAGCGGCCAGAGACAAGAACCAGCCTCCCTGCCCTGCCCACCCCTAGTATGGGCTGACCTGGTGCAGCGCTGTTAGGCCATCCTCGTTGGCCAGGTCAGGACTGACCCCGCTCCTGAGGAACTGGCGGACTACAAGACAGGGAAGACAAGGTTGAGTGGGGTCCTGTGTAGCCTGTGCTGGCCCTGGTCAGGCCCCTGGGCCAACTGTGCTGTGGCCCAGGAATTGGGGAGGGGCAGAGAAGAAGCTGGTGGGAAGAAGCCAGTGGCACAGATGGCAGGAGGCACAGAGCCAGGGGAGGGCTCAGGAGCTGCAGTGTCTGTCCACCCCAAGCAGCCCACAGCCCCAGAAGCCCTCTGTCTCCAACACCTGCAGGCCCTGTATCTGAGAGCTCCAACCCCAAATCCGCAAACAGGCCCTCTGGTGTGACAGCAACCTTCCAACAATCCCAACTCCCTGCCTGCCCTGAAGCTACTGCAGTCTGGAAGCACCTCCTGCCTCCCCAGTCACAGTAACCAGGGGACCTTGCCCACCCCCAGCCCTGTGTTCACTCTCTGCTGGATCCTCTAGCACCCAAGGCTGAGGCCTCCACCCCCACTCTGCAGAGCTCATCCCTGCCCCTCAGAGATCCCATCTCAGGCCCCAGCTCATGCCAAGGACACCAGAGTTCTCCCTGGCCATGCCTGCCGTCCCACATCTCCCTATGGTACACCCATAGCACCCTCTTCCTCATCCCCTGCCTCCAGGCCTCTTCCCCCTAGATGCCAGAACACCAGAAATGGAACTCGCACACAGCTGGGGCTGCAAGCATGGCGCACAGGGAGGAACAGGAACCTACTGAGAGCCCAGGCCTGTCACTGAGTTCTGACCAGTGTGGGCTCTGGGTCTACCCCAGGCCTAGCCAGCCCTGCCTTCTGGTGGTACCATCCTACTCTATGGACATGGAGACCAGGACTCTCCTGAGCATCCCAGCACCCTGGCAAGAGGCAGTGCAGGCAGTTGGCTACCCCATACATCCAGCTGTGCCAGGCACTGGATGCTTCTGCAGATTCCTGTGGGCCTGCCCCATGGCCTACCACTGGCAACTCAGCTCACCTTACATGAGGACCCCTCTGCACACAGCCCCCAACTGAAGGACAGCTGTCCCAGCACAGGCTGGCCTCAGGGTTGCCTACCGCTTAGGGCTTGCCTGATGGGAGGACCCAAGGCTGCCCAGGCTGAGGTGGCCTGGCCAGATCTGGGTAGAGCCCAGGCACTGCAGACAGGTCCAGCCCTAAGGCCTGACATGAGATGGTGTCCAGATGGCCAGGGTGAGGGCCGTTCATGTGCAGAGAGCTCAACCACACTCACCTTCCTCCAGGTCATTGCGGGAAGCAGCCTCCAGCAAGGCAACGCTGGGCGGGAAAAGAACCTGCTTCTGGGGCCCTCGACTGGCTGCCTCCTTACGCGGCCGCTCCCTGTGGACCTTCTTAGCCTGGGCCTCCTTCTCAGCCTGGGCCCACATCTTCACCTGCTGGGCACGCCGCTTCTGGGCATGCTTCAGCCGTTCCTGTGTGCTCATCCTGCACACCAGGGGCATCTCTGCCAACAGCTCCAGGTGTTCGGCCATGGTGGGTGCTACCAGCCCGCAGGGCTGCTCGGGGCACCAGAACAGGGGGCTCGGCTGCCAGGCCGGGCCTGAGGGGCGGGGCAGCTGGCTGGACTGGCACCCTTGGGTGCATCCCCTTCCCAGGGC